AAACAAAACCAATGAAACAAACCAACTAAAACCACACAACAAAACAAAGCCCACAAAAAACCAAAGCCCTGATAATCAAGGTTATCTAGAAATTCAGAATGCTGTCTTAAAGTGTGATAGCAACAGCTCTAAGGGAAGAGAACTGACAGAAGCCTTAGTGGGCTCCAAACCCTCCCTATGGTCTCCTGACAGAATATCCACCTGTTAAGCCTGAGAAGGAAGACACATAATGCATGCCATTTCCCAAACTGCCCAGTGGAAATGAAGACTTTGTGGCCTTTAGCTGTGTGCCCTAATTAACAAATGAGAAGATAAATTAAGATGACTTTTCAGCCTGTTTGCTTATGGCAAGAAACTGCCGTGTAGAAATAAAAAGGTCTGTTCCCTGAAAAAGGTCTGTAGCCTGACCTTCCCAAAACCACTGAATGCAGACAGTAAGAACATGACAACAAACTCCACAGCTACTGACTGGCTCTGCAGACACACTGTTCCCATTTTTGAACAGAGCATCCTCTCCAGAAGGGTTGGCATCAAATCCACCGTGAAGCGGAACTGCTACCAGCCAATGCCAGGATAAACTGGTGTTCTGGAGCAACACACCATCTTTTTTTATAGGTGGTCATCCTGAGAAAAAAAGTGGAAAACTGAGCATTCCTTTAGGGCGTGCACCTCTCCAAGCCGAATACACAGCACATCTACTAAGGACCAGCAGCTGCAGTGACAAAATTCCTGGTCCCTACCATTTTGTGTCTCCTAGATTTAAGCTCTAAAGTATTTTATTTGTGTACCACACCAGAGGTATGGAATAACACAAAACCAGTAATACACTTTAATACAGGACCAACATACGTTGTACCATACCACACTAAGAGACAACACAAGTGAGGCTGTCACAAAAATACAGCCATTACTAATGTTTTAGATGACAGGAAATTAGGAAGTTTGGAACTGCCACACAGCCTCCCCTGAGGTTCAGCTACCACAGCCTGAAGGTTATGAGAGGTATAAGAGCAACAAAACAAAACCACACTATGGTGAATGGTATCCAAGGGGATGTGCCCATCTGTACCGGAATGATCATTACCAGAAGACGTCAGGTTTGTATTAACTTTTATTGTCATGTATGTACAGCTTAAGAAATAAATCTCAATTTGAAAAAGTTCAGAAGTTATTTTTCAACAGCACAGAATGTAGACATACCTTTGAGGCAGCAAACATTACTCCTATTAAGGCTCTTATGAAAGGATGGATATCATGCAAATGCATTTAAAGAGTACATTACACTTAAAAATATGCAAACCAAGTTCAACTAACTCTTTCAGAAAGAGAACATATCAAACATTATAACTGTGACCCACCAAAGCATTTACATACATGCTTGAAGCTAAGTACACGGACTACATAAATGTAAGTAAAAAGTAACAACCGCCAAGCTACCTTAACCAGATCGGAACTGGAGTCAGTGATCAATCCCTTCCAACATCACAAGTGCCAACATCTGCACCAACCACAACATTTTACATTCACACACACTACTGCCGACTGCAAAATTCCATATGCTTTTTCAACCTGTAAGGCCCACACTTTTTAGCTTCGGCATTAATTTTTGATCACTGAAAGTACTTAATCCTGCCACTGAACCTGGGGAAGAGATATGCACAGAGAGCCCCTGCATCACAGCAGCACACAGCAGGAGCTGCATAACACAAGTTACTTCCATCAGGCATTTAGAAAGCTTCTGATTAATTTCCCTATGCTGCACCTCTTGTTTATGATCTCAAAGAGTGAAAGCTGGATTGTTTTTAAACCATAACTAGCATTAGCACTAAATTAAGCAATGCTAATCTACAAAATTCTTACTTAATATTTTAGTATAGTAATGTTACTTGTGCAAACAGTATCTACAGATGGTCTAATATTAACCAGCAGGGAGAAAGCTTCATTCCTTCTCGTTGTTCTTATAATAAATTGAAATTAAATATAATGAAGATTGTCAGCTGTGTGACTCTGTCATCACTAACATAACCCAAAGGACTGATTATGTGAAAGTGATGAATACGTGAAAAGAGAAAGAACACAACTATTGTGACCTCTCCCAGGATGGAAAGTGCACTGCCTGATGTGTGACAGGTGCTACATTACTTTTTGTTTCTTCAAGCCTCATGCTACCACTGTCCAGTTTTAGTTATCTACTCAAAGGAAAAAATGAATTCTTTTCAAAATGTTTTACCAAGAATTTTGTTTTGGCAACTCCCAGATTGCCTGAAGGCCCAGACTTCCCAGAAGTTTTGCATCACATTCCATTCAGCGCTTACAAATTCCTTACAAAAACTATTCCTCATCTAAGAACATACTGGTTAAAAGTAGGAAGACTGCTTTACCTCAGTCCATCTAATTCTGAGTCACAGCAGCATATCATTTACTGTAGTGACAGGACAAGGGGTAACGGGTTAAAACTTAAACAGGGGAAGTCTAGGTTGGATATAAGGAGGAAATTCTTTCCTGTTAGGGTGGTGAGGCACTGGAATGGGTTGCCCAGGGAGGTTGTGAATGCTCCATCCCTGGCAGTGTTCAAGACCAGGCTGGATGAAGCCTTGGGTGATATGGTTTAGTGTGAGGTGTCCCTGCCCATGGCAGGGGGGTTGGAACTTGATGATCTTAAGGTCCTTTCCAACCCTAACTATTCTATGATTCTATGATTTAGATACTGCTAGGCACATACTGTGTGTGCATGTGCAACCAGGAGAATGAAAAAGGAAAAGAAAGATCCATTTTACTTTAATCCTGACCAGCAGCTGTTAGCAATTTTCTTTAGTTATCACTGTGGGACATGATGGATGGGAAGACCCAATATGCTGAGGAACCAGTATATAGTGTACAAGTGCTCTCAAGGACTGTTGTTCAACAGCACATTCAGTTTAACTAGGAACTACAGACTCGAAGAGATAACAGGTAGTTCCTGGGAGCATCTATCATTCTTCAGAGAAGCTGTCTGATCAAGAGGATAATATCTGGAAGAACAATTGCATGATCTTTTGCTATATAGCTAGTATATCATGTCATTGAATGAGGAAAAGCGTGAACATTAACTCAGGTGGTAACTCAAAGCAATCGGCATAAAAGAACACACTGAGATATTACCATTTTAAGACTTCCCATACACTTACAACACAGAAACTGGATACACAAAAACATGCAAGTCAAACAAAGCTAATTACAATAAACAAAACCAGAATACAGACTTAAACATTAAAATATTCACCTGATGCTAAATAGGAGCAATGGAATAAGGTCTAGACCTACCCATAGAATTCAGTAAAAATTCAACTGGCTATTCCAGCCTTTCTCACCTCTTCTTACTTGTTTTTATAATTCCAGGCTAGAAACTACTGAATGACATGGGAGCCAAAACACAAATATAAATAAGGTATCTTCCTCTATTAATAGCAATGTTCCAGGGATTTGTGATTATATATGTATGTAGCTGCACAGCCTTTTTTCCAACCCATAATTAGATGGGATGTCCTTTTCCCAAAGATAAAAGAGGATGTCAACTACTCCAATACCAAAATTCTATTTGAAAAGTCAGCCTTCTTTTCTGAGCAGACCTATCCCATCTGGGTTGCATACTCATTTAAAAGTATGCATTGACAGCCATCACTAACCTTCTGTCTGAAGGTTGAGCCCCATCATTATTAGATGAAGCTCTCATCAGATGAATCTCAACAGATGAATACTATTTTCTATGCTACAAGACTTCCAAATTAAAGCACAATGAAATAATTAATAACTTGGTCCCCCCAAAAAAGCTCCATTCCAAAATACAAATTCAAATTATTCATCTTTCAAAATGCTCAACCAAGCTACCACACCCATTTGCCCCAAATCTTAAACACAGACTACCTAGAAAGGCTGGGAACTACTTATCAAGCTTACAGAGATTAATCCCATAAAACTTCAAAAGACATTCCAATATATTTTAAGTGGCATAAAAGAATATGGGCAGAACTCTGTCCTAAGATTCAAGAACCTTATACTAGGTTTTGCAATTTACAAATACAGAAGAATGTAGCGAATGCAAAGCATGAAATACCAAGAGTTTAAAAAGGGTTTTTTTTTCCCCATCTCAAAACAACACAAACCACAGAAGGAAGCAAACTCTACTAGAGGAAATTTACAATTAGTCTTCAAGGAAGTACCATGTAAAGCACACTGCATTAATCTAGACTTGACATTATGAGGGCATGTCTCACTGTAGCAAGGTCCATACTAGACACCAGATCAGAGACAGAAGATTAAAGTAAAACATTAGATGTCACAGGCACTGTTCTGCTGATCTGGGAAAGGCAGAGACTCCAAGGTGAGCAGAAACTATAAACCTGCTTAATAAAGGCCATTCTTTGCCTCTTGCAAAGTCAAGAAGTCATACATCCAACACTTTCATCCCTTCATTAAAATAGAAATACTAAAAAGGAGCACACCATAACATATCCCCATTGCTTCTGACTGACATGGTGAATCAAAGGTAAAAGCAGAAAGTTAGCAGAGATAATTAGAGCAACAAAGATCTTTTAGCACAAGCCAGCACAGCTACCAGCCAGAAGATTCTTTTGTTACTTAAAAAATAAGTTGCTAGTTGACTACTTCTGTTCTTTAGGCATAGGAAAGTTCTCATCTAGAGGTCATTCTGAAAAACACCTCACCCTGTACTTCAGCATGTATGAGCCCAATAGAAACCACTGACAAAGAAGAAAAAAAAAAAACCAAGTATTTGCTGGCTTTCCTTCTGAACACTTCAGAGAAAAATGTCAATTTAATGCTGACAGCAAACAAGGATGTCAGTCTAATTAGATTTTTTTGTTCTGTCATGCTCCTGATCCCAAGTACTCCTCTGAAAATAATCTGATCAGTGATGAAGGCACAATTATACAAACCTTAACATTCATTCTAAATGTCGCAATGCAAAACGGGAAGAGAGGGGAGGGAGAACAAAGGTGAAGTATATTTCTCTTCAAATAAGTCAGTTTATTTTCCAACAGCCATATAAATTTAAAATATGAAACAACAATAATACAGCTATAGAATCTAGGTTTTCTTTCAAAGCAGCAGCATATAAAACATATAAAAGCTAAAACCTCAGCACAAGCTTCAGAAAAACAAGGACTGAGTGAATTTTGCCAAAGACATGAAACTCACAAAATACAGTACACAAAAATACTGGAATGCATAAGATATAAAGCTACACATTTTAGGTAAAGAAAGACATTGTAAAGGATACAAATTTTGCAAAAGTAAACTGTGGGATTTGGGGGAGTACCATGATTACAAAGAACTTGGCAATTAATACTTGTAGATGGAGAGAAGAACATGACAGTTTTATGTTTAGCATTCAATTTTCAGGTTCATGACTTCACTTTCTTGGCATCTTTTTTTCCAGAGTTTTCAGTAGCCAAGTCTGCTTTTCTCTTCTGTGACTAGAAAATGGGGAAGGGAAAATTTATAAATTCAATTAAATGGTGGCATTATAAAAAAGACAAATAATTTGACATACTTCACTATTCAAAAGGAAGATGAGTGACTCCCTCCAATGTACTACCTATTTCAGTTCAGCTTGGTAGGATGTAATGGAAGGGGAAACAAAAATCTCAGCTTTAGACACTTAATACCACTTCCCCTTCTATCTTTATGAAATCACTACACGGTCTCAATGGTACAGGTACCACACATACCATGAACTGGATTACAAGATCAGGACCTTGACTTATACACAATTCTGTTCTAAAGATTACAACTCTTTAAAATAAAACCACTTATTTCTTCTTCCAGGAACTACTATATGGGGGAGGAATAATGATCAGATTAAATTAAAGGGAACATATGGTGTAATATGCAGGTAGAAAGAGGCCAGTGCTATGTTTTCTTGAAGAGTATTCCTCTGCTAATTAAATGACTGGGGGGGGGAGGGGGCAAAACCCCCAAAATACTATGAATTGAGAATTACCTACATTAAAAACTAGGACAGTTGTGAACAGACAAATATTTCAGTTTAATGGTTTATACTGAACCAGTCAGTGCCAATTATCTTTTTCCTTTTCTAACAAAATAATTGAACTTCACTCCACTAGAAGTAAAGTAAGTGCTGTTAAACATACTGCTGTAACTTTTGCTCCCCTCTTCTTCTTTTCAGCTCTTTCTTTCTCCTCAATTTCCATGTTTTCTTTTTCTATTAGTGATATGAGAGTATTGCAGCGTCTCTGAAACTCCTACGGAAACAGACAACATCAAATTCTCTAAATAAATTACGCAGATTATCTCATTTACATTAATATCTTCAAAATTCTTCAATTCCATCATATTTGTGTTTCCCAAACACTTTCAATATTCATGTACTAGTAAGATTAGCTTAGTTATTGTTCATCTGTCTTTACCTTAGTGCAACCTTCTTTATAAACAGGGAGAGATATTTACTACAATATCCAAATTCCTGACAAGAAGTTTTCAGGACTGCCTGTATCTTCCAAACTGACACCCTAAGATCTTTCATCTTGTTTAGACAAAGCAAACTGTAGCCTGCCAGCACGCTATGCCAGATTTTAGCAAAAGAAGTCTCCAAGTACATCTTTAAAGCAGAAACAAAAGGGAATTTTTCCTAAAAAAAGGAATCCATCTTAAGGAATACTTTTCTGCAGCACAGACTCGCTTCTTGTGATAAGACACTGTAGAGCTCTAAAAACATAGACAGTCTTTCAATTATGAATTCACTGTCGTACTTTTAAGTCAAATAGCACCCAAAAGGTAGAAGGCCCTAAATGCTCTTAGCACTTCCAAGACTCCCAAGCCACCTGAAACTGATTAAATGTCAAAGGGTCATTTATACATTAAAAAATATTTCAGTATGTTCTATGTACATTGAGAACAGTAATTCCATGGGGTTTCTTTGCAACTCAAAGCAGGAAGCTTTCTTCTCACACAAAAAAGGTAGAAAAATATGCCTTATCTCTATTAAATTCAATGGAGCAATTTTTGAACAACAAGCTATCCTAGAATTATCTAACAGCATAAATCTTAACCTGCAACTGGTCCATTTGCAATGAAGTGAACAGGTGACCTTTTCTGCTCAGGACTTAGTTCCCATTTTCTCAGCATCTGTAACCTGTATATTGCTTCAACCATCATGTAACATGATGGATAATGATGCAGCCTGCAGACTTTCCTGATCCTGAACGTTATGAAACAGTCACGCATATGACTCATCTTTGAGACATTAATACCCTCAAGCTTAATAACCACATTCCTGTAGTTCTGTGGTTTCCACAGATTCCCCTGCAAAGGGTGCTCCACGGCCTTGGATAAACTCTCTGCAATTCAGAATGGACAGAGAGAATCCTGCCACTGCATAAGTATTTCCTACCATGAAAACCAAATTTCTTCAGGGCGTTTTTCTTTACAACTCCCTTGGAAACCTTGCAGTCTGATATGCACCATTTTGCAAAGAGAGTATTATAAGGAGTCATTCCTACCACACACACGCAAAAGTAACCCCATGCTCCCCCGCCATACAGGTTCAATCATAACAATTAGTGTGCTATGCTTGTGACCTGGAAGGTGACAGTCCTGCTGGAGCTAAAATACTTCAGCCAACAAGAATGGCAAACCCCCAAATTCCACCCACACAACAGCTTTTAAGATAAGAAGGCAACAAGTCTGAGAATACTTTTCAGTGCAAGCCATCCCAACACGCATTGAATCCCCAAACAAATGAGAACCTCTAACCCCAACCCCTACACTCTATAGTTGAAGAGATGGTAAGCAGAAGTAGTAGAGAGAGGATTGTCTGTATGTCAGAAGCACTTCACTTAAATTTGCATACACTGAACTCAAAGACTTAGGAACTGTAGGTGAAGACTGATGATAAGCCGTTCCATAATAACAATCAGCTATAACCTTTCTACTATATGAGAAACTGGTTTGTGTTAAATTCAGACAAGCAATTAATCAGAAAGGACTAAGAAATAACCTTGATTCATTTGCCTAAGGCATTAAGAAAAATCGTCCTCCTTCCTGGGGAAAAATACTTGCATAAATACATACATTTATTAAAGTGTACAGGTTCATGGTTAAACAATCCAGATGGAGTACTCCAGAACATCTGCCGTGGACAGAGGATGGGCTCAAAAACAATTTTTCTCTGGAGAATCACAGAAGCAGTTGACAGTAAGATGTGACATGCACACAGGTTTCTTCTACACTTACCATCAGAAAGAATCTGCATGATAAACCCCGCACCGAGCTACTGAAATTTCAATATGGACTGATCCATTCCATTTTATTTCTATAAAAATAGACTTAAGAGTTTAAAATGCTTGGCACCTTTAGAGATGAGATTTTATTTAGTGGGGCCTGATACTTTTCTCTTTAGGATGGAAAGAGATAAAATGTAATTTGCTCACCCTTCATAGCTATAAAGACTAGTATTGCAATAAATAAGATGGGAGCACTGAACCATCAACTTCTGCATGACTGAAGGCAGAGATGCTGACCTGGGAGTGAAAGTAGTCCTAAGCTCTGTCAACAGGCCCGTATATCCCTGTATTTACACAGGAGTCATTTGTCTTACACTGGGTAGAGTTTGCAGAAAGCAAAATGAGAATGTGCATAATTTATGACTTCAGAAAACAGATACATGATTCACTACTGCCGGGATATTTCGCATTCTTCCTGCAAGGCCAGAAATAAAAGAACAATAATGACTAAACCTGAAAAAGCAAACCTCTAGGCCTGGTTAAAAAATTAAAAATATGACCATTTTGGGCACTCTCAATCTCTTTGAAAACTTACATTTTGGGTAAACTATCTGGCTTTGGAATAAATAAATGAAGCAGAATTCTTGTTTTCCAAAGAGAAACATTCAGAAGGAAAAGAAACAGAAACAAGATGGAAGATAAATTAACTAGTTATATGGAACTGAAGAGACATCTAGTGGTTAGTAGAACAAAGTTTTCCCAGAGAGCCTGGTAAGGTCTTTTCAGCATTATTCTGCCATTTCTCCCTTGTTTTATATCAGTTTGACTGAAAATGTGAATTTCAGTATTCTAAGAATTTTTACCCACTTTCACTGAATTTACTATTTATTCCTTTACAAAGATCTGTATTTATACTTGGTTCATTATTCTTGATACCAAGTGACTTTCCAGCACATTTCTGCATAAAAATACCAAACTGGTACAAAAATGGACCCACAGAAATTAATACTTCCACAAATGTCAGGATATTTGAATACATAAAATGCATCAGAGTTTGGCAGTTACAAATTATGAAACCACATGTACCATGACAATACAGGACACTTAAAATTAAATGCACATAGAAAATTATAAGATTACTTTAGCTTGATATTCTCATACCATTCAACTGTGTAACAGCAGAAGAAATGAAATATTAATTAATAGAATTTTAAGAGAAAACGCAGGCCAGAAGTTTCACTACATCCCCAGTGCCTCAATTTCAAAATTAGACACCACAGAACATATCCCTGCACTTTAGCAGTAATTCCCACCTCCTTTAAAGAAGAAAGTTATATAGAATATAAGGATCTACAAGACTTCAATAGAATATTTAACTCTACTCAACCTAACTATACATCAACTACTATTAAATGTAGAGCTACATTTTAATTTCTAGTACCCATTTCTATAGTTTACTTAAATGGATTCCTCCACAGACAATTTAAAAGAAACTTTCTAGCAGACTAAATATTAGAGGTTTCTCTCTTCAAGGACATAATTTAAAAATACAGTATTTCTCCAAACAGACATTTTAGCACGTAAAGCCTGTAATTCTAATTGAGGGCTCACTGCTGTACTATCCAGAAGCACTTTAACTGCTGAAATATCAAGCAGAAATTGTAATGCATAATTACAAGTAGCACTGGGAAAAGAAAATATTCCCACCTGTTAAAATACACATTTTAAATACTTCATGTTTTATTTCTTCCTGGTACCATACCCAGAACTCTGAAAGTACATTTTATAAACAAATCCTGAGGCCAGGAAATGAAAGCAGTAAACAATAAGGCACAAAGGTTCTACAACTGTTACACTGAACTACTAGAAAATCCAGATTTGTGTACGAAGTGGTGTTTAAGTTAAGTGATTGCAGCACTGCATTTAATTTGCTTAGAAGACAACGGGGAGAAACTTTAACAGCTGTATAAGGGACAGTGTGCTCAACTCATTTGTAACAGCCAAGAGCAATGTGGTTTTGTATTAAAGCAGACAGAAAAAAAAAATTAAAACTTGTATTATATTCTCTAAGTATTAACAAAGTCTTCAGGAAAGCATGAAAAATGTTCAAGCACTTACATGTGATAATCTTTATTCACTACTACAAATTGCTTCAATGATTCTTATATGAATCAGTAATTTCCTCATGCTTTTAGAAATTAACCACCAATATTAGAAAAACAGTATAGAATTCAGATGTTTTCAGTCTTTAATATTGTCAAATAATTCTGAAAAGCAGTCATTTTATGAGACACTGACAAAAAATTTAGTTTTACAATAAATGTAACAAGGACATTGGTAAGGATAGTCTAACCTCTGCATCAATCCCTTTGGGTAACATGGGACCTCATCCTGGCAGGTTTCCTGAGCTGTTTGTTTCAGCTGCATTGTTTGCTGTACTAAGGGAAAAGTTTATTTCATTAAAAACTAGAAATGAGAATAAAAAATGAAGTTATTCTTCCAGCACTTGTTTCTTAGACATCAATATTCTGGTACAAATCCAGATTTTATGTGATGGCGTTGTAAAAAATGGAACCAACTACACGATATATTGGCATATTCCATGTAACTGATACCTACCATGGCAGTTCTAGATTTGATAAACCAGTCAAATCTGAACTGAGGAGCATTGCGCACACACTGCCTTAGTTCTTCATACACGTTTTCTTTGTCAAAGCCCATCTTGTGCAACATGCATATTAAAAATCTGTCTTCCTCTTCTGTGTAGTTTTTCCCTTTGTTTGTTCCATACTGAATACGCAACTGATGAAAAGGTGCTTTATACCTTGCAATCTGAACGCAAAACAAAAACGAGGACTATTAAATACACGATATTACATCAAGGACTTGTTACATATTAGCGCAGATTATTGATACGTGGCATATGCTATATAAAATGCTAGAACTCCCATCCCCAACTATTCATTTTCTGAAGGACTTTGGAAGAAGTCAGCTGCAAAACAAAAACCTGCAATGATTACTTTGGCATCGAGAGCTTTCTTGATACTGATCCTCCGCTGAATTCTTGCCTCTCCTCGTTCAATTTGAGCCATAATCCTCTCAATGTCCTGTAGTTCATTACAACGTTCCCAGAAAACAGCTAAAAATGCAAAAGATAATTTGTAAAATGCAATTTTTTTTTTGTGTAAATACAAAAAACAAAGACGCAGTTTGTTTGGTACTAGCTAAAATAGCGTATACTCACAGCATAAAGAAGCATGTTGCCACTATAAGGCAACTTCATGATTCTACAAGACTATGTTGTCAATGTTAATTAACTATGCCAAGTTCTAAATTTTAACTGAGGGATAAAGGCAGCTGAAGATGTGTTTATATGCTGCAAATTCAACCTAACAGAATTTCTTCTGAAAAGAACCATCAGCACTTTAAACTATTATTCTTATACACATCCAAATTCTACATCTTGTAATTTTAAAAGAACATGCAGCAAAATGATGGTGATGGCACGTTAGTAAGAACCATTTCAAAATATCACAAACCTGAATACTCAATGACCTCCTCAGGTGACTTTCCCTCCACCTCACGGGCAATATTGTCTATATCATCACGGCCATATTTCTCATTAGCCTTAATAAACTGGTTAAAGTCTCTCTTATTCCAGTTTGTAAAACCCTGTGAGCAGCAGGAGATCAAGATATTACCAGGTAGAAGGGAAACATTTTGCAAACTTTTTGTCTTATGCATGTACCACTTGCCACAATTGGCAATGCTTCTGCAATGGCACATAATTACGGCGGTTAATGGTCTTTCAGGATTTCCATAAACTTGTACTATCCAGGGTTTATTACTGAATCCTTAATAGTCTAAAAAGTTATTTCTGTGCATGACTCCACATGCATTAGTAAGAACTCTTTAGTCTTCTTTCTTTTTAAACATTTTATGTGGTATTATTCACCAAAGAAACGAGCTCAGTGACAGGTTACTATAATTTTAAGTCACCCTTCAACAGATATAAGCAACAAATGTCTTTGGTGTATAGGGTGCAGCAATGCAAGTGTCATTAGAAGCTCTTAGAGTAGTGCAAGTATCTAAAGCAAGAGCTCCTACTTTGGACATTTACAAACCTTGAACCAGACAAACAGTTGGATGAAAGCATAAGTATGTCAAGAAATGATCTCTAGTCCAAAAAGCTGCATTCAGATGGAAACTCTATAGCACTGTCAAACAGAAGATTTGTTACGTACTGAAGAAATGAATCCAAAACTGAACAACAGTTAAGTGAGATGCAGGGCACAAAAGCATCATCCAAGAATGACACATTACTATTTAAAGACAGGGAAAGGAGATAACATGAAGAACAAGCAAACAAACAAGAAAATCACATGCCTGAACAGTGATTTGTAGTGCATTGAGTTTCTTTCAGCACCGAAATACACCTACAAGGAACTCTGTCAGTTCTCCACCTGAATAGGGTGGAGACGGACTCTTCATTGGGGACTGCAGTGACAGGACAAGGGGTAACGGGTTAAAACTTAAACAGGGGAAGTCTAGGTTGGATATAAGGAGGAAATTCTTTCCTGTTAGGGTGGTGAGGCACTGGAATGGGTTGCCCAGGGAGGTTGTGAATGCTCCATCCCTGGCAGTGTTCAAGACCAGGCTGGATGAGGCCTTGGGTGATATGATTTAGAGTAAGGTGTCCCTGCCCATGGCAGGGGGGTTGGAACTAGATGATCTTAAGGTTCTTTCCAACCCTAACTATTCTATGATTCTATGAATAAGCTCAATCCACAATTAGCATTTTTACAAGAAGTCAACATACACACATACTTCTTTTTAATCATTACCAGCAGTACTGACATGCATATCAGCACCAGCTGAAATACTTCCTCCCCTATAAACAGGTGAAATTAATAGTCAAATAGTGACCTTGCAGATTTCCTCACCAGGTACACTACCCCCAGTCCTTTTTCAGGAAATGTGGCAAATCAGAAAACCCTGTTACTTCGAGACACAGCCTTCTCCTTAACGTTTAGCTTTTAATAAGCTTACTCATCAGGATAACAGTTCAAAAAGCCAAGAAACTAGTATAAAAGGAACATGTCTAACATCCCAACTAGTACAAAATTAATGGATATGACGTGTCTTATGCATCTGTGTAAATAAAGTACATGCTTTAAAGTACAGAGAGGCTTGACCTCTCTGATTAAAACCCTTTTTGATAGAAAACATGCAAGGTAGATACGCATAGGAGAAACCCAGTAAGTGGATCCACTATACAAGTCCTTGCCTCAGAAATGCTGCAGACGTTCAAGGAAATAGTATGTGAATAAGAAACTTGTTCAAGGACAGGAAAGGTCCCTCAAAGCAAAACCAAGCAAAATCATTACATTTCTTCCTTCCGTAGCATCAGTGTAGCTTTCCTGTGCATATTTATCATTATTAATATTTATACTCCATAGTATTAAAAACATAAGATGGAATACTTCAGCTGTTTTTATTTTACCTGTGTAAGAAGCTTTTCTTTCTCTTCAGTTTCCTCAGTATTCAGAGGCATAGACTCATCTATTTTCTTTTGTTCCTCCTTTTGTACCTGAGCTGCATTTGGGAGGTCAGGATTCCTGGGGACCTAAAACCAGGGGATCAATAAGCAATAATGCCGTAACAGTATTAAAGAGACCATGCACTTTTATGTCAACCTTGGTTTACAATTTATAAGCACATTAGATCTGATACCATCCATACCCACTAAGCATTTGTTGTTACAGAATAAAATGGAACAAAACAAAACCAGCACCCCACACTTTGGCTATCCTGAAGAAACCAAACCACCATAAAAGTATTTAGTTACAAAACTGTTCAAAATTGAAAATATCCTCCAAGAGTATCAAATACTGTCATTTATTTATGCTTGCTCCTTCTTGTCTCACAAGTTTCATCTTATTCACCTATAAGTAACAGAAGGGTCCTATTTATTTTTCTTTAAGAAACTTCAGTGAGAAACACTGTATAATACATGTAAACGATATTAAATACTATTAAATATTAAGCACTGATCTGTACAGGTTACCAAATTGTTTTTCCTAGATTCAGACCTAGTTGCTTTAACCCCTCCTGCCAAAAGTAGGACTAGATTTTGTCAAACATATGTTATAATTTTGTTACACCCTGTATCCCCCACTTCTACGCATCATAACTTAGGGAAATTGTGAGCAGCAGAGCCTCACCTAGTGTCAGCCATCACAGCACACTGATTTCAGTATGACTTTTCATTAACTAAGGATCTGCTCTCTTACATCCAACACCTTATAATTTATGACTACAGTGAAATACTAAGTTCTGACAGGTTTACTATAAAGCTACACACACTGCCAAAGGACGGAGCAGAGAGACACCATGTAGACAAGGCCTACCAACATTTTATCTGTCCCTCTCCACACTGGCACCAATTTAGTATTTGTGACCTTTAAACCATGTACTGCAATTCCATGGCACATAGCAGCAAACAAGTCAGAGAGCAGTAACCAGTTAAGATTTTGTAGACCTTAGGTATTTCTGCAGCAAAAGGCAAAGGAAGTTACGAGCTGGTTTTAATATCTGGCTAAGAACTTTCTTGGCTTGCGTGGTTCAAGTTAACCCTGACACATAAAGCTTGGCTTTTACCTATTTGATACCTTCTGATGTTGCTTATGGCAGTCTTCAGTTTTAATAAACTCTCTTCGGATGGAAAGCTATACTTCTGTTTCAAAGCAGAAAAAACTTAATCACATTTATCTCTTCCACCACCACTGAACAGTCATACTAAGTTTTTAAGATAGCAAGTGTTCAGGTTTGACCTATCTAGTCTGACAGATTTCATTAACAGGACTGAAACACCTCTCTCTTTACAGGCACGCTCTCAACATTACCAATTCCCTCAGCCTTATTTGTTGAAGCATTAATTGAATAATTTCTTTCCCTAAGCTAATTACACTTCCTTTAATTCTTATTATCTTAATTCTACTCTGCCATCCACATAAAATTCTTCTTGCTTCAAACTAGATTCCTAAGACAGCTTCTGCTTTTCCTTAAAAATTTATTTTGCTAATATTAATTCTACTCTTTGGCAACACCAGTTTCCTATCTGTTGCTTCATATGACAAGTTTACGTTCTCCAACACATTTTATACGTGACTTCTTGCTGCAATCTGCCATGAAACATGAGGCTTTTCAAACTAAGTTACATGTCTGCAAGTAGGGGATCCATTTGATTTACTCAGCCAATACTGGCACAAGTAATGAAAAGCAACATCAAAACAGAATCTTGTGTTCAGTGCTTGTCCAGTATGTCAGCAGGAAAGCAGAAGAAATTTAGCTAAGGCACAGTAGGAAGAGTAAAATAAGGTAAGTCTGTCGTCTCATTTTCTTTTTACAGTAGTAATACATTCAGACTTCTCCACACTTTCTAACATTTTATCCCAGCAAAATGCAAGGAAAATTGCTGTCACTTTACTTACCTTCATATCAACATAAAGTCAACTCCAATATTACCTTAAGCTACTTCCTGCCTTTCTGCACAAGATATACAAAAGCTCTAACACAAAAGAAAAAAAAAAATCATATCCTGGAAAGCAATCTTGTATTTGCCAAAAATCATTTTTCCCCCTTAGACCTCACCTCACACTTTTGGTTTTGAGAAGAAGTATATGAAGCATCAGAACTGTCACTTTTTTCTACCCTATTTCCTTGCCAGGAACCCACCACAAAACATAAAGCTACACAGATATGAAGTTTTTAATGAAGGAAGGAATTGCAGATTATTTTTTCTGTTCCACTGCAGAAAAGAAACAGGAGAATGGGGGTTTTAAGCTATTTCCTTCACAAAGAGAAGCACATTGCAAAAAATAAGACCAGAATAATACATATTTTTCAGCTGCTGTCTCACTGACTTCATTTAGCTACTGTCAGGGTTGCAGTAAATCCATAAAGAATACAAATACATTTCACTAATTTGAAGAGGGGGAAAAAAAACAAACCAGAAGCATTACCTTATATCCTATAGTCTTACGATAATACAGAATTTCTTTTTCCAGAAGTTCAAATAACCGTGGTGGAAAAAACTGGAAATCCTGAATATTTGGTTGTTTTGGAGGTCGAGGAGCCTTCAAAAATACATTAACAATATATAAGTTTGATTTCTGTGCAATTAAACTGCCAAAATTCAGCAGCATTGGCAACCTATCCCTTTGTAAATACATGCATTTTATTACCAGCACAGGGTGAAGGCTGGGGATGCAACACAGGAGAGAAGAAGAGCAGAAGACCAATATAAAATGCTGTCTATACTTGCCAACTTCTTACCTTTGGGACTTTGGGCTCGCTGACTCGTAGGGCTTCTCTGAAATATGCATCGACTGCATAATTAGCTTTGCGTTCTCGTTTGGGAGGCTCTATCCATTCCATCATGCTTAGCTACATGCAGTATAGAATAAAAAAAGTAAAGTAACTGTATGCTTTCCTAAAGTCACAAAAATAATGACCAATGTGGCACTGCAAAACAGAAACAGATTTTTGCACAGCAAATCTAATCGTTGTGCTCAATTTGGATACTATAACAGCTCAAAAATAAGCCAGCAATTATACCCGATTATAACATGTATTAAAACACATAAAAGACTATACACAAATAAAGCAGTGCAGTGGCATGGATGGGTCCTTTCACAGTATTCTACTTACTTCAGACACCTGAGTAAGGTTACAATTCCATCTACTAAAACATAATGGAAGGACTGGCCACTTGGGCTCTGCATCTGTATCTTGTGATATTAATTATTTGCTGCTTCTTTAAAGAGCACAATGAATAACCTCTACAGAGACTACATAATACTGGCAAAAAACCAACAAGCAACAAAACAACATTAACAGGAAATTAATCTTTACTAAATTACTTGAATAAAGTTACTAAAGTCTATTTCAAGACTATGCTGTGTTCAACTGGCTTCTTGTAATGATATTGTCAATACAAAACCAGAACTTCACATATGCATACGCTCCACTGCGTTCTCATTATGTATTTTATTATTCTAAATGTTTCTTTAAAATTAAGAAGAAACCTGGGTTAGAAGGGCATTCCGTAGTCAACAAATAAAGAGTACATGTACCTGATTTCAAACAAGACCTTAAGGATATCTTGGCTATATGTCTCATACAAAACACACAGGTACAGTGCTGACATTGTGGGACGCTGAATAATATCTCTTTTTGTGGATGATCCTTCCAGAATTAGGTAAATCATTGTACAAACAAGTTCACATTAATGCTTATGACTAAAACCTTTACCACAAAGAAGACTTAAATCCAAGTTCTATATATAAAATCGTCATTAGGCCTGGGCTTTCCCCCCACCCCGTTAGGTGGCAATAAAGTAATACTGACTGCTGCAGTATAGCAGGATGCAACATAGTATTTTTGATGCAGAAAGGATAAAATTTGTGAAGAAAAACAGCAGGGCTGAAAGCTAATTTAACGAAAATTCAGAATATTGATGATTCTGCAGAGCCAAGAGAATTTTTCAGTAGCTCTAACCTTTAGAGCCATAAAATTTCTACTGTGGCCTTCATGCTTGATTCTAACCTCATCTTAAAAGACTTTGGGAAAAAATTACCTTTTGTTTCTCTCTATAATCTTCACCTTCAAAGTTGTATAAACTCATTTCTGTGTCCATAGTGAAATTTCGTAAGGAGCTCTCTCCCATTTTCTGCAATCGTTCATTCATTTCAGCTGTCTAGAAGCACAAGAAGATACTTTCAGGCTCACTCAAGCCAGGCTCTTCTGAAAAAAATCAGCTTGCAGCATTATTAAAACATTCCCAGTGTCTTTTTCCAATTCAAACTTTTCTTTACATTTTTCTTTGAACAAGAGACACCCATGATACTTTTCAATTTTGAACAATCTGACTCCAAGACTTTCCATTAAACTAAATTTATTATGCAGGAATGTAGCCCTACAACTGCAACACTTAACTTTTACATTTAAATTCAATTTATGCCCAACTCTTTGGAACTGAAATGGCAGTTCGTTTTTCCATAGAGCTACCTATTCCCTAATAAAGTTCCATACAGGTTTTGAGTACATTTAGACATGAATTACGTCACTTATTGCTGGCATAAAATTAACATCTTTTTTAAAGACCATGAAACAAACAGCGCCTGAGATGCGGTGCACCCAGTCTGAAATAATTATAACTCACTCATTCTACTCTTCAAAATTTTCATAAGCCATAAAATATTTATGAACAATAAAGTAATAATCGGGCATAAAATATATTTACATAACCAGATTTTGTTTCTATTTTGTGCACATATATATTTAATGTTTGACACCCTTCAAATTCCATATGGAACTGTTCTCTAACCTTCTTTTCACCTCTTTCTAAAATAGTGTTTATATCTTCTTCTGTCAGCTCACTATCTTTGGAAGCAAAAACATGCGTGGCTCCATGCCGGATCATCTGCAGCATTTCATCTTTCGCCAGTTTGTTGGATTGCTGGTCTATGAGCCTTCCTAAAATTAGAAGAAACATATTGAAAGTTACAATACAAGAGTTCGAGCAGGACCATGCAAGCAGTAGAATTTTTTTTTAGTTCACTGGCAAAACAAGAAAGGAAAATCATAAGAACCATACAGGCAAAAAAAATTAATTTCACTTTAGCTGAAAACAGCCAGAAATCAGGAACTTGAGGGGAAATAAATAAAATAAATAAAAACTAAAAATAAAATTAAAAAGCAGAGAGAAAACCCAATGAAACTTTAGATTAAGATGTAACAAAGGATGTTTCATATTCAGATGATCCAAATTTTATGTTTAAGATTTTATTCTTACAAGCTTAGCTGAACTTTTAAAATCAAACCCTTATTTCAAGCTGAAAACTGACAAAGTATTCTGTAGTAACCACTAAGAACTGCTACACTCACTTCACTGATTACAACCCAAATCTGTGCATATTCTTCCCAAAATTCTAGTTTCTGTCCCAAAAAATTCACTTCTTATCTCTTCAACAAACACCAATATTTTGATCAGCATCCTTACAATAGCACATCTTTTTGGAAATACAACCAACCTTCAAAACTCAGCTTGAAAACCTTAAGTTTTTGTGAAACTATTTTTCCAAGAGCTTCTAAACAAACACACACAAAGTAGCTTTTATATTCAATAAATTCAGATGTGGTAAGAAGCATATGTAATTATTTTTAGCTGTCAAACAATATCTTTTTTTTCTTTTTTAGCATATCCCAAGTATCATCTATTCAGCTGTAGTTTGCTTTCCTCATTTAGAGTTTTCGTGTAAGTCTATGCCCATGTTATTTAGGCAAACATTTTTTTTTCAACATTTTCAGCTGAACAAGTGCATAACTTACACATTATAGTTTCTTTAGTTGATTGAGTGTACTGCTATTATACACAAGGCCTGCATTCTCTCACACTGTACATTTGTACAGTTAGTTAACCCATACTTTCAGGGATTGAACAACTGTGTTGCAGACAAACATATATAGCAGTTGATACCTTGTTGTATAACTATAGAGTCCAGCCTCAGTTTTATTTCAGCTCTTTCTACAATCCTCTCTTCAACAGTATTATCAGTGATTAGTCGAAACACCCGTACTGGTTTCTTTTGACCAATACGATGCGCACGATCCTAACAAACATAAATCAATGAGTGTTCAGCAACAAAAACTCACAAGCAATAGACAGTTAGCTTGCAGAAACAGCAGACTGAAACTAGCATAGATTTCTTGGTTCCTTGCTTATTCAAAAGTATATGAAAATGTAAAACCAGTATAGCAATATTTACTTATATCTGGCTATTACACCTTTTAAGTTTAGGTAATTCAATAGCAATAAACACATCTATCTCATTGTAAATGAACATGACTGAACGTCTGTCTAGACTGCAGCTGGGAAAGTGGAAATACAGGAGTACATATACACAAACATCTGCCCTGCTTTCAAACTCCTTCTCCCACTTGACATAAGTATTGAAACTTTTACATCCCTAGCCTGAGCATATGAACTCCATGGGCAAAGTCCATGCAGCCACAGCTTCAATACCGTAGTTGTCCCAAGCTAACTACAGTGAAGCATCAATACACAGTTCATAGAGCTCATGTACAATACACAGCAAATGAAGTCATACAACCAACATGCTATATTTATTTGTAACAAAACTTGTGTTTATTCTCTCTGGAAAACATGAATATGATTTTGTCCTCTTAAATAAAAAAAAGTTAAACTGGCCTTCAAGCTTGTTAGTACGAGGATTTTCTGACTGTCTTTATGACTCATGTCATTAGATCTTTTACTGCTCTGCATAATATTCTTTTCTTCCTGAAAATCCTACTAAAGCTCACAAATCACACTCATCAGTCTCCAGGAAGTCAGTCTAATATTAGTAGCCAACGTGCATATCAAAATTTACTCACAGTAAATACTTGATGTGTTCAAGCTCATTAAAGCAATCAAAAAACCCCCACAACAATAAAACAAATACCCTGACCCCCAATCATGCAAGAATGATCATGTGATATTATTCCACATGAAAAATCATAGACTTGATTTTTTGATATTCAGCACTTGGAAATAGAATTTAGTATGTGTAACCCAAAGACAGTGTGCTGTGTTTTTTTTTCCCCTGGTATCATCACCAAATGATTTTACACTCACGCAGAAACAAGGTGGATTGCAAAAGCAAACGGGAGGAATAAAAAGCTGCATGCTTTTAATTCTTTGCTATTATTAACAGCCCTCTGTTCTTTGTTTACTGTTGTCTCCTGGAAATGCAAAATTAAGAGTAATTCTACAGCTAAATAATATTGATACAGCATTTTGACAAAGTAATCTTACTCAATCATAAAATAAAGACATTTATAGAGAAAAATCTACAGTTTCTTCCGCAATTCTGTTCATGCACTGTTTATTCCATTCCTTAGTTTCCTGGTAGTTAATACAAAATGAACAACAAAAAATCCAAGTTCTGCAGACACACAAGATAGAACAACATTAAATAAATGCATGTTATGGAGTTAACTCACCATGGCCTGCAGATCTACTTGAGGATTCCAATCTGAATCATAGAGAATAACCACATCAGCAGTTGCCAAATTAATTCCAAGGCCTCCAGCTCTGGTACTCAGCATGAAAATGAATTTACTGCTGTTGGGAGCATTAAATGTGTCTATTGCTTCCTAACAAAGATAAATAAATAAATAAAAGATCATTGAAGCATCAGTTTTCAAACAAGCTTCCAATATGCTGGTGGCTTTTCAATGAAATTTCTTGAAGTTTATAGAATTTTCATACCAAAACCAGTTTTCTATAGAAGTAAGAAACTGTAAGTTTGTACAGGTGGAAAAAAAGTCCATTCCAAGTCCACAAAATTACATTTTTCATTTAGCTGAGAAATGAATGAAGCCTACTTTACGGCAGACTTTGGTTAATAGAAACATACCCGTATCAGCCTTCCGAAACTGTAGCATTTTTGTTTTACTTTGAACAATCATGTAGCTACTTACACATATGTAAATAACTTCTCAATAACCTAACACATAAACCAAAGACATTTCTTGTTTATATACAACTTTCTCACCTCTCTTTCTTCATGTGGCGTCTGTCCATCCAGCCGGCAGTACTCGTAGCCACGCCACATGCAATAGTCTTCCAAAATATCCAGTAAGCGAGTCATCTGACTGAAAAGTAGAACTCTGGAACCTGACAGAACACCACAGAAGATTTTATGATTGGTTTTATGTTTCCACATTGATCTTAACACACAGCCTACCATAGAGCGCGAGTAAAAATGTATGTGAAATATTCTGTACTATATCTAACTTACTCAAATCCGTCTTTCTTCCACAGAGTTACTTTACTGGTATTGATTTAACTTCAGGTTATTTGATAATTAATACAGAAGAAAAACACAGCTGAAGAAACAGTAACGCTTAAAACCATGGTAAGATAATTAACTGGCAACTGAAGCACACAAGCTAATCCTCTCATCAGAAATTTTCTTGAAGACAGCAAAAGCGAGGCTCTGCTCTTCCTTTCCTACTGCTTCTCCATGTTTTTAGTCTTCCTCATCATTCCTGTAAGATCTCTTTCCTTCCATCTGTTCAGATGTACAGAAAAACGATTATCACCTTGAACTTCACTGACAGTAATGAATATATGCCCTGGAGTCCAAACAAGAATAAGTCTGTGTTTAAAAGGTAGTTTTACTTACAACGAACATTCAGGTCACTGCTGTTCATAAATGGTACTCACCTTGCTCTCTGAGTTTTGCCAGCAGTTTATCCAGAACTAACATTTTACCACTGTTAGTGATGAGATGTGTGTCAGTGGTGTAAGGAGGGCCCGGCTCAGCACCATCAAATAGGTAAGGATGGTTACAGCATTTCCGCAGCTGCATCAGAATATTCAGCAGACGCATCTTATCCATTTTCCCAGCTGAATTCAGGATATCAATGTCTTTCATCAGGATCCTTGTATACCTGAAGTTTTACAGGCAATTTTGAACAACTCTCAGTTTGTATTTGGTATTTAAAAACATGAATAAAACCCTGCAATAACTCAGTTACTTATTTCTGGATGTGGGAGTTTCACTTATAATAATGAACTATACTATTATGAAACTTGGTGAAAATGTCTGACCAATAATAAGGATTTATAAATCCATATACATGAAAGACAATTTGTCTGTGAATGACAATGGCCTGTCATTTACTATGTTATCTTACACTTCCATTGTAGGACTACAAAGTAGATTAAACATATCATTTGACTGAAGCTGCTAAATTGACCTGGCTCCTTTTCTCACATCTCTTCTGGGTTTGTGGCTCCTCAAGATTTTATTTTAATTTCAACTCAGACTTTTACTGGTGCATACATACTTGGAACAATGGAGGAAAACTTAGTAGGCACATGTTCTTTCAAATTAAATTAAGGAAGGAAAAGAAGTTTCTGCTTTCTTCCTCCCAACCCCTTTCATTACCCTTCCTGAGCTCTTCGTAACTCGTGCATCTTTAAAAAGAAGCCCCAAAGACACCTATAAATAGACTTCTCCATCTGACTGTCTTAACATGCAACTAAAAGGAGAAAAAAAAACAAGAAGTCAGTGTCAAGAGCTGTAGTGTTCTTTCACAGAAAACAATCTTACTTTGCAGGATGTAAAGAACTTACCATTCCCTCTGCATTTTGCTGAGCCCAAGATAAATTTTTACTTCCTTCTTTGGAGGCAAACTCTTTTCTACTTCAGCTTTTATGCGACGTAATAAAAATGGCTTCAAAACCTACATAAATTAAGAGGTTTTCCAAAGATAAATTTACAAAAGTGATTGCCTCAAATACAAAATCAACAGATTCAGTTATCTGATATTTATTCAGAACTATCAGCAACTCTTGTCATGGTGACTCCTTCAGGAAAATTCTGCTGAATTCTGCAAAATAAAGCTGTTCACTAATAGGCTAAGCTCACACATAAGTAACACTACATAATGAGTGCCATATTCATTCTAAGAAAGGGCCAAACCCACGAGCTTATAAAATCTACTTACTACCTTTTAACATAAGCTGCTTCATTTTCATCAGCAGTATACACAAAATTCATAGTTCAAAGATAAGGCATGTATGTTGTATTTCCACCTGATTTGATTTGTTACTGTATGAGGAAAAATATCTTTTATCTCATGCACAGTAAAACGAAGGTAAAGGTATGGCTTTTTTCAGGCTAGCACGACACGTGTATCAATATCTTGTTCTTAGTAAATAAATGGTTTCAAAAAGATGCCAAAATTCTTCATTTTCACATTTTAAATATAAATTTTGTCTGCTTCAAACAAATGTTGCAAAACATATGTTTTGTAACAAACCTAATGTTCACAAAAAGCATCTGTAACAGTGAATTCCAATATTTAATTCATGAAAATTCTGCCAGGCATTTCTGTAACTAAATACCTTCATATTCATCTTCTCAACTTGGAGATGAAGGGAGAAATAATCTGTTGGGGGTTCTTTTTACACTGAGTATGCTATTGACAACATGTGATTACAGCTTTAATTACTTACAGCATGAAGTCTTTCCACAAGTTTCTGATCACCAAGACAATTTTTAGTGTCGAACCATGAGTCAAAATCCTGTAGTGAGAAACGGCACAATTGTATGAACAGTTTATCATCTGTAGTTTTAACAGACTCATATTGCCTCTCTCTCACTCCAGCTGAGTGGTGTCAATCTTCAGACAAATGACTTCTACAACTGAAAGAAATTCTGTGCCAGCTCCCCATCATGCTGTAACTTTCAAAGCAGCTGTGTAACTCCACAGACAAAAGTACTACTACCCTGCTTAATTTACAATGGCTTTCCATGCTCATCACTGCAGTGTCCAAGTTCTTCTCGTTAATAATTGTGTAATGATGTGGCAAGAAGGAAAAAAAAACAAAAAACAGAATCCTTAAATAAAAGAGATGGACAAAGCAAAACGAAGAGAAGCAAGCAGTACAAGAAACATTAATGGTAACAGAGAAGAAAGATTACTTGAATTCTAAATGAAAAAAAAAGGCTTATGCATATTTGGATGCTTCATATTCTTCATTCTGCATTGCCTTCACAAATTTTGTTCCACTTTAAATAGTTCAAGAATTATGCAAAGTATTACATTTGCTATTATTTGTGTGAGACATCGGCACTAACAGAATGCACTGTTTCAACTAAGTAGAGCAAAAAAGTACTCTACAGTTAGATAAGCCACAGAGCTTCTATTGAATCCAGGTCTTTCACATTACATCTCTTACAAGGCTGGTCTTTCTTCTCTTCTGCACATAGCAGCCTGGGAATCAAAATAACAAGAACAAAACAGTAATTCCAAACCTCAACTTACATCTGCAGAATTGAAGACATCAGGTAAAAGAAAATTGAGCAATGCCCACAGTTCGTGGAGGTTATTCTGTAAAGGAGTTCCGGTAAGCAGCAATCGATTTGTTGTCTTGAACTCACGTACTATCTCCGACAGCTAGAAATACAACAAATATTTATCATCATCACGTACACTTAAGCAGAATTAACTTTGTCAGTTTCTGAGACTTGAAACAGTATCAGCTAAATTTAAAGACAGTGAGTTACCTACAAAATGCACGTTTACCACCCAACAGTTTACCACTTACATTTGAGAAAACTCCACACCTAACAAAATCTGCTCAAATGAGGTGGAAACTTTTGTGTCAAATTATCTTCAACATAGCAAATAATTCTGAACTTACTTTTGACTTCTCATTCTTTATTCTGTGGGCTTCATCAATTACCAAGTACCTCCAGTTAAATTTTTTGAAGACAGATTTCTCTTTAATCACCATTTCATATGATGTAACACAAACATCCCATTCACCAGGCATCATAACATCACGGATAAAAGCAGCCTAAAGCAGAACAATGAAATTAATAAACATTTACAAATATCATCAACTTATATGTAATTCAGTGAATCCAATTTCTACCAATATTACTAATTCACTAAGCTAGCACACAGAAGATGACTCTGAAACATCCTTTCAGTAACTGAAAGTTACTGTAACAAAAGCCTTCAATTCTTTGTACTTTAAGGCACAGACAGAGCATCAGCTGGGGTTACAAAACACTTATTTTCTCCTGTTCAAAATTAAGTATTTACTCTTCAGCATAATTTTTCTGTAATTTAAATACAGTACATGTTACAAATAGGGGAAAAACCCACTAAACTCACTAGTCCAAAGATATGATCCACAAAAAGCCAACTTATGCAGCATACTCCCATCTCCACTCTTTATAAAAGATCTCCCTCCTCTGTCCCATCTCTGTTTTGTAAGGGATACATACCTAAGCATATAGATCCTTTTACATGAAAGAATATCACCTTAATCAAAAAGCCACACATGCAGGTCTCCAAGACCTTAGTAGTGTACACAGATCACCCCAGCAATTAGGACTAACAGAACTGTTCAGGTCTGCAGCCTTGAAGAGCTACCCAATAAAACTGCACAATACGATGCACTGATTTACAAAATTAATGAACACTGTCAAAATGAAATATAGAAGAGAAAAAAAAATAGGTGCAAAAATCAAAGAGGAAGACAACAGAAAAAGAGGTCAGACAGCTTCCTTTGATCCCAGCCTATTATTTTCCCTACTGTCGTGGTTTAAGCTCAGATGGTAACTCAAAACTATGTAGCCACTCACTCACTCCCCCGCATTTTCTCCTCAGTTACAAGCATAACATCTTTTATTTTCAATGCTAATACAGTTAAAGATGACTAAAATACTGTAATTAAGTAGCTCAGGCAGAATTCCACATAGCCAAATGTGGGGTTTTGACAAATAATATCTTTGAAATGTAGAGCACTTACTCTGGCATCTTTATCTCCAATAAGGCAAACAGCACGTAACGATGGAACCCAGCGTTTGAATTCATTCATCCAATTATGCAAAGTTGATTTTGGAACCAGGACCATGTGAGGCCCAGGAATGTTTCGGTAATGCTTCAGATAGCCTAATAATGCTATTGTTTGCAGAGTCTTACCAAGGCCCTGCATTGACAAAGAAGTGGGGGGAAAGAAACATGCTGAAATACCATAGAGATAGTTTCAAACAATCTTCTTACTACATAATTCTGCCACTTAAGTTGTTGAAAGCAAACTACACAGCTAAAGTTTGCAATACAATTTCTTTCACTGCATTACAACTCCAGTTGTGAAAAATCTGTTGTAGAATGATGCATACTACTGCATGTAGTTTGAATACTATAGGCATTTTAATGATGAATTTTGCTAAGCAATTACTACAAAAATTCCAGAAGATTACTGCTTACCATTTCATCTGCCAGAATGCCATTGACACCATTTTCATACAATGATATCATCCAGTTCAAACCTCTAACCTGATAATCTCTTAGTGTTCCTCCTTTCACATCTGTAAATGCAAGATTCCTCTAAGTAGAGAAATACTAAGTGGAAATTTTAATTACAATCTGCTCAGATTTTAATTGCATCAAAGCAATCAGAAAGTTGTCAATACAACACTTACATGAAGGAGACTCCTCAAATCGAATACACACATTAGATGTTTTTCGACTCTCTGACAACAGTTCTTCATCTTCTTCTTGCTCCGTGCGCCTGTGACGGTAACTGAAGGAGGAATCCAAGATTCGTGTTTATAGGAAATAATTGCAAAAAAACAACTATAAAATCAAGAGAGAAAAATTGTAACAGAAACAATCACTGATCTACAATTTGTGTGTTCTAGTACCCTGACCAAAATCATATCCTGTAAATAAGGTGTTCCTTATGGTTCAATCCAGCTTTAATAGGACTCATATGAAGCCCTCTCCTCCAGAGCCATAACGACACTGACAAAAAGTACTGCGATTTCTCCAAGGCACTTTTTAATGAGCAACACAGAAATATAAGACACATATCCATGGTTGCCTTAAAATCAATTCCTTGGTAACTATATAATTCAGTAGAATCACATATTCAGCTAAAAAGAATAAAAAAATAGAAAATACCATTTTGTAAATGTTCCAAAAACTAGTTGCTTGCTATTACAAGACCCCTCAGAAACACTACATGCAGGCTATGCCTGCATTATTAAAAGAGACATGGTGGATCAAGACAATTGGTGCTGAGGATCCAGTATCAGCACTACATGTGCACTGTCATGTTTTGACTTGGTCTAACTCCACTCTGGCCCCACCAATACGTCTGCTAGCAACTGGAACACCAGGTGTATTTCTGGAGTACATCTTGTAGTTCAGCATCATGCAAAAGAAATTCAACCTGTGTGCTCCAAAAAAAACTCCACATTATGGACCAAAGCATTTTAAGTACTAAGAATCAGGAACTGATTTTAAAAGTGGGCTTCTGATGCAGTGCAATACTATCAGCATGCATACATCAAGCAGCTTTTAAAGAAATTATGAGACACCATTTATAGGAAAAGTTCTGGACTTAATTAAATCTCTATTAACTAAACAGATGTGCTATAATGCATAATTTGTTTGAAAGTGTAGGTTATAAATAAAACATACTCCCCAGCAGAAATCAAACTCTGTTTTTCATCCTTCTTCATCCGTGGCCGTCCCAGCTTGACTTTCAATGGAGATGTTGGTGATTTTTGTGCTGCAGGCTGAATAAAATGTGCAAAAAGTTCTGTCTGCTTCAGGAGGAATTCAAACCTTTTTGCTCGATCTGCTTTCTAGTTTCCAAAGTGGGGAGAGAATTAAAAAAAAAGAAAAAATAAATAACTTTTCATAAAAACGTATTTTTATTAAGAAACAGATTTCAGACATTCATGAGAACAACTTATGAGGAAAGACTGACAAGACCACCTGCCAACTGTTAAACCAACTCAGAGGGCTACAAGCATCATGAAATATGGTGTCCCTGCCCATGGCAGGGGGTTAGAACTAGATGATCTTTAAGGTCCCTCCTAATCCAAACCATTCTATGGTTCTATGAACAGGTTGCTGAGCTGCTTCAGCTTACAGCTAAGCATGAACTGCTTTAGAGAACCCAACTGCAATGCATGATAGTTCAAATAAACCTTCATAAATACAACAGCAATCTGGAAAACATGTCAAGACTTGATAACCTCATCCAAGCAACTAACTTATTTGCATTCAAAACTCCAAGACGAGCAAAATGACTCAAAAACAGTTTGCCTGTATAGATGGCTTAAGTGTGCATGGCACACCGGCAACTGTGAAAAGAAGGACTGTCTACAAAAGATAAAGAAAAAAACTTAGGTTCTGACTTACTCTGTGGAATGGAACCCTAACCTTACCCAAGTCAGTGGCAAAATTTCCATATCCTCAATAGGATATCCTCATAGCTCAAGGCTATCAGGATTTGATAAATAAAACAGTGTGGTAGTTCTGCCTTGAGAGGCAGGACTACAGCAATAGATGCACCAGCCCAATACTGTTTGCATGGAAGTTTGTGAATTTTGCTGTTAGATCTCAAATTTCAACCATTTCAGATATGCCATATCAATGACGCATATGCACTTCTCTGTAGAAACACAGCAAAACACATGTTCTCCTCTATATATAAAGGACAACATGTTACATAATTTTTAAGAAAAATATGCTAAAATTCAAATGCTATCTGACAGAATGTAATTGCCAGCATCTCTATGCCATTTTCATGTGATTTATACCTTGCTATAAACTACAAAAGTGAACTCGTACAATAACCCTTCTAAGAAATATACAAACAACAGGAAGCTTTTCTGCAGGCAACTTACATGCAAGTGAAAGTCCTCTAACAGCAAAACGAACGTGACGTGCAATGCATGATCTTGCCACATGAGGGCAATGCATTACTTGTAATAGCGCACCGCTTACCAGCAAACAAACATCTTTCGAAAGATCTCCTAAGAAAACATTACTATTTTTTCCCTCACATTCATTATTGGACCATTTGTGTAAATATTTTGAAAACTAAATAAACTGTAAATAGAAATTAAAACTAGGGGGAAAAAATCTAAAAGGAGGAGTAAGGACATAGATGTTTATACTCATACAGGATAAGAAAAATACCCAATCAGAAGGGTTATTATTAAACTAATAATACATGCTATTTTTTGCAAGTTAACCATAACTGTAAGGTTCTATACTGAATGATACAATAGACTTTTCTGCTTGTAGGATCATTGGCTGGGTGTAAGCAGCATGCCTTGATAAACAGTAAAGGTCGAGCTCATAACTGATGAAAGACAGTTTTTTGAGACCTATCACCTTTGCCTCTTAGAAAAACTGAATTAAAAGTCTTATTTAGGAAACCAACTTCAGTTACTTACTCAACTCATTCTCAACAAACAGATTTACCCGTGTGACTTCTCTTGCCAGTAGGCATCCATTTTTTTAACAGTGATACTCTTCCTTGGCTTCTACGGTATCCAGTCCTTTCAGACTCTACTGTAACTATTAGACACCCATTTAACATGAAAGCTTTTAAGAAAAACGCAGATACCGGTTTCAACCAAGAATATGCGTCATTCAAGAGCAAGTCTTGTAACGGACTCTTGGTTTCAGTCTCTTTGTAATACATCAGTTACCCTGGTCTCCCTCTTCTCCATCACTACAAGCACCCTTCATTTGCGTTATGGACAGATGCTCTTTTGCATTTCTGCAGCACATATCCTAAGGGGCATATCAACACTTAAAACCTTTATGTTTTTATATGCTGAGAAACTGGCAGCTTTGGTATTTCCATCAATTAGTGTAAGGATGCCTCTGACAGAATTCAAGGGGTCATCACACGAAGCTAGCAGAGACAAATTCAAAACCAAAAGGGGAATATTCTAAATATAAAATGGCACTGAATAGAAACTCCTTTCCCAGGAGGGTGGGGATAACTAAACCGACAGGAGGGAAAAAAATGCCAGCAGACAAATCCATGGGGAAGGGTGGAGGAAGAGGACAGACAAGGACATGACAAAAAAAAAAAAACAGTGACAACTCTGAGTATAAAAACCACAGTCTCCAACTCCAGAAATCAGGCAGACTAAAATATTCCTAAGGATGGGACAGTGTTTAACAGAACTATCACTACCTGCTTCTTCTGTTCGCATATTTTTCTCCGTTGGCCACTACGAGAAACACCACACTGGACTAGACATTTAAATGAATCTTGTTTTGTTTTTCTTTTCTGACACATCCAGTCTGCAATAACTCCTTGATTTAGTTCAAGCAAACCAACACACATCAAAATGCTGCAGAATGTTTTGTGGTGAAAACGCTTACCATCTTCTCCTCATATTCTGGGTCAACTTCTTTGTCAGGTCTAGCTGCCTTTGGAGGAAGCTTGAGTTGAAACGGAGGATCATTTTTCTGGAATTCAGATTTTAAACACTTCGTAAATATCAGATTCTTTATTCCCTTTTTTTGCAAAAAGGTATCAACCTGAACAAACCTACACACTACATGAGAAGCATGCTACTGTTCAAAAATAGTTATTTCAAAATGAAGTTAACTGCACTGATTAACATTATTTCACCCAAAGCAGAACCTGATATCCATGATAAAACAAAAGTGGAGATATGACCAAATAAAACAAGAGCTGAAGATTTGTTTCATCCTCATGCTTATCACTACAAATAGGATCAAAGTTGAAAGCATTGAAAGAAGAGTACTGAAAGAAGGTAAAGTTTAATCTTTCACAGAGATCCTGCTTTAAATATATAAATAAAATTTAATATCTTGAAAATGTATTTTTAAAAATTGTGACTTCTAAATGCAAAATTTCTAACTATAAGTTTCTGGCACTCACATCTTGGCTGGGTTTTGTTTGTTTTCACTTCTAGATGAATAGTCAGGAGTTCATTTGGAAGAACAGGCTTAACTACATTTAACCATACCTGGGAAGAGCACAAATTATAAACCAAATCAATGGATGCAGAAACCACTGGATGGCATGCTCTTCAACAGGTAACAAAGAACTACCTTATTTACTATAAATGAAAGAAACCTAAGAAACAGTAATAAAACCAGCTGACTTTTGTGGTTTATGAGATTTCATTTCTGTCTTCAATTGGTAAGCTCAAAGCAGGTTTCCACCCTTTCAACTGCTACATTGTTGTTTAAAACAAACACACAAAACCCACAAATCATTATCTTGGCAAAACATACATATATATATTTAAGACTTGTGGGAGAAATATTTGGTTGATTTTTTTCCTCTACTCAGTCTCTGAATTACACCTTTCTTAACACACCTCCTGCAAATAAAAATAATATTAAATATTTTTTGGAAGACATTAGATTATAAAAATGTTTTTTAAAAGCACTGAATAATCTGAAAGAACTGCCAAAGAGCATGTCTGTATAAAATGTAACAGCGTCTTAATCTGACAAGCACTTTGGACACCAGCCTACTACAAATACATTAAAATTAAATAATTAATCTAAATCATTCAGAGCCAAGTAGCAAAACAAGACCAAAGTGGGACTGAATATGTAAAAGTCTGTCAATATGCTTAAATTTCAGCACTGTTGCTGAAAAATATATATGCCAACTTGCTCCTTAAATTTAAGCACTATCATGCAAATGGGAGGAATATTTTCTAAAGTCAGAGATTACATTTTCAAGTTTTGGCCCAAAGGCATAATTCTCAGCAAAGGTGAACAATGCCAAACATGTAATAAACTTGTCTGGCAGGTTAATGATTTTATAAATGCATGAGTTCATCTTTGCAGGGCCAAATGATTATGTTGCAAATAGGTACAATTAGAAATATTCTACACTTATAGCTTCTTCAACCACACAGGTAATCAGCTTATCTCAGAAAGCAATGTCAGGAGAGGACTGTTACACCAACATGCCAAAGAACAGATCATATATACAAGTATATTCACACCTCCACTATATTACTATATAACACAGACTTCAGTAGAAAAAGAGTGACAGTGCTTATTATCAGGCCCAAGTCTTGTTATTAAGGTGACAAAATACTCCATAAAGGAAAACAAAATTCACAACAGGCCATTTCAGACATCTTCCTCACTTCCCCCAGAAATCAATTACACAGATAGGTGCTACTGGAAAAAAGTTGTCTGTCTACCTCAGGTAAGTATGAAGTTTCTCCTGGACAAAGCAAACAACTCAATATTATAAGAATCCCTTTTAACTGCAAGTTTTCCAAGTAATGTTATACAACATCACTTATGCCCCAAGGCAGATAGCTCCAGTGCAAGTTCTATTGTTATTCTGGGGAAATCTTATATTCCCAAAAAAACAAAACTTACTGTGGCATACAAATAAAACTCATTCAGAAATAAGTATATGTGAATAACACACTCCGAGTTAAAGGAGTAAATGAATTGACACGCAAACTTACTGCAGTACAAGAATCACGTCCTACACCTTATCTTGTTTCTCTCAAACACTGATGATCCCAAAATGCCAGAAATAAGGAATGGGAAAGAGTCAAAAAAGAGACAAGACTTAAGATACATGCATCCCAATACCCTTTCTCTTCATCACAATTTACAAGGGAAAAAAAGTATGCTGCAGTTTCACTAAAACACTGCTCCGGGTAGTAGGGACAAATACCATAACCAAACTTGCTTCTGCATAATGTTCTGAATTATAAAAATCTAGATGTTGAAAATTATTAAATTTGTTATGAGTAAGAACACTTTTCCCTTACTACCAACCGTCTCACATACCTAATGCAACACAGAAACACAAGTATTTCATTAAGCCGTAAGTTTTACCCTAGAATCTTTAGACAATGCAACCTCATCACTTAAAGGGCTGACTTAACAAGAAACAGGAGGATCAGCTGAAGCCTCAATATAAACAATTAACCAGCAAAAAAGGTACTTTTGCTTTTAACTCAGGGAGCAGGTGGCAACAATCTGCCACTACCTAAAGGTTTCCATTAAAGATTGAACCCTAGATAAGACAGTCCCCTGAAAACTGGTGTCTCTTACAAAATAGATTACCATGCAGCACTTCAAAAAATAACAGACCCTGAGTATTCTAAGGATCCAAAATACTTCCCCAGCCCAGCCTAAACAGAGCTAATAACTTCAGACTGAGAGATTTCTACCCAGTAAGTGCAACAGTTAGTTCTAAATTGGACAGGCAACGTGAACGCCTACATAAATGACTGAATACAAACTGCTGCTGCTTTGTTGACTTTGCTCTTGTAACCTGGGCCACTAAGAACTTTAAACAGATGCATTCAGGAATAATTAGAAGGACCCTTTATGTTTTTAACGCACATATAAAAGTGGAAATACGTTCCAAAGAGCCATTAAGGCACTGGCTTGGTACTACAAGCAAGACTATGTACAATAAAGTAAAACAGTGAGAAGGGAACAGAGCACAACAGGTTGTATTATATGCCATTATTACACAGACTGTGCATGTAACTGTATAGGTATGTAACACACCCATGGTCCAACACGAAGTGACATTCCAATCTGAATAGAAACCTCCAACAGCAAAACATGTTGGATTTTTTTCCCTCAAGGCACATATGGCACAGCACCACAATGCTGATAATATTCAGAACCACTCACTGCTTTCAGATAATTTCTCCAAGCATGCATTCTCTACACATTCAGCACCAACTTTTTATCAGCTGACATGCATAAAATTTGGCAGAATAAGTTATATCCAGCACAGAAACAGCCCTTGAACACTTTCCCCTGATCAGGTGATGTTCAGAATTATCCTGTTCTGTATCTCATAGCTGTCTGCCTCCCATAAATAATGGAATAAAGACTTAACCATTCTCTTCAGGTAAAAAAGGAGCTTTATCGAATGGAATTAAAATTCTGATTGCACTAATGTATTTCTCCAGTGTTCTCCAATATCATAAATACATGCCAGGCAGTCACCACTCTTGCTAAGTTTCTGTAAGATTCATTCTTCAGGTTACATCTTGTTCAGTTTCCAAGGATACCCGAATACGTCACTTTTTACCCTCCTTGTGCCTTAGCCTTTTTACCCCAAAACCTGAAGGGAAGAGGCTGGCATCCCTAAGCGCTCCCCCGAGGGGTTCATTCAGCACCACTGCTGCATTTCATCTGGCCAGAGGGCAGCCTGCAGCCCCGAGGCGTGAGGGCAGGGTCGGACGCTGCGGCCCGACCTCCGCGGGCTGCACGGCGGGGAAGGGGCTCCACAGGCGCCCGATGGCGGCAGCCGCCACGGCGACGCTGAAGGACGGAGCAGCGCCCTGCCTGCGCGGCGGGGCCGAGGGTGTCCGGGCAGGGGCAGGCTCGCAGGGCCGCCGCGCAGCTGGGCCGCGGCCCCGGGCCCTCACGGGCTGCGCAGGTCGGTGGCGCGCTGCCAGCGGCCCCAGGCTGTACCCTCATCCCCGCAGGCTCCACCGCCCGCCCTCCCCCGCAGCGGTACCTCCTCGGCGCCGGGCTCCTGCGCAGAGGCCGCCGCGGTGGAGGTGGAGGGGAGCTCGCCATCCGGGCGGGCGGCGCCGGAGCCGGTGTCCATGTTGTGCACGGCAGGAGGGGGGGACAAGGGCGGCCCCACCGCCCCAAACACCGCGCGGCTCCGCCCCGCAAGGCTCTCGCGATGTTTCCCACACGCGCTGGAGGAACGCGTGTGGCGGCCGGGCACGAAGGAAGGGTGAATGGTGGGGAAGGCACAAGGGCTTCTGTTGTTAGACGAACACAACACTTTAGCAGCTGCTTGGAATAAAGATAACGATCCCTGCTGGAACCAGAGCAGCGTGCTCCTGCGGGGCCTCTGGGCAGGCTCCAGGCACCCATTCCTGTCGGTCCCTCATGGGATGCTGCGCGACACCTCGGTGCCTCCCTTGCTGCCGAATGTCACCACAGCTCACGTAGAAGGCAGCGGTCAGGGCCGCTACACACATAAGGACTAGGTCTGGATGTGCCCAAGGGAAGTGTCCTAGGTGCCTCAAAGGCTGCCGGGCATCTGATGTGTTTGGAGACAGCGCTGGCTTTCGGGGCATGAGCCGGGGCTGAGGTCCTGCCCTTGTCCCGCCTGCTGCCTTCGTGATCTCCAGGGGGCTGCCAGCCTCTGCTCGTGTGCGAGTGGCAGGATGTGCCCTCCTGCCTGTGGCGCCGGCACTGGCATGCGCAGCTCACGGAGTCCAGACCTGCTGCAGGAGGCAGCAGCGGTACTGACACGACAGCTGACGTACGGATGAGGTGCTGAAGGAGCCGGGCAGTAAAACAATGGTACAGGGCAGAGAACTGCTGACTTGCCGTTTGTTTTCCTTGCTTTCAAACCCTGTTGCAAATAGCAAGTGCATTTTCCTAAGTGCCCCAGGTTGTATTAGTGAGAAAATCATCTCAGCATCTGCAGGGCTGAGGTACCAGTGGAATTCCCAAGCAAGAGCGGCCTATGCAAACAAAAGTAATGTTTTTTTCTTTAAGCTGTTTCAAATTCAGCAGCGTTTGTGTGCTTCATATTGCAAATGGCACTAATGAAGCCACTCTGGTTACTGTCAGTGCGCATAGTTCTGACCGTCCACACAAGGCATTCAGATTCTCAGTTGCCGAGCTGTAACTGTGCTCATGCTGCGGAAGGATCCCAAATCAAGCCCTGAGATGTCAGACTTAAAAATCTGAGAGCTTGGAATGAGCCGTTTTACCTGGTGATGACTTACAAAGGCAATACCATGAGCATTTTGTCCAGAGAAATAGATGTAACTCTGGTGCAGGAGACAGGATGAGCCATAAAAGTTTTTTCATTCCAGTAAAAAGCTCATTAGCTGTTATCAAGATCTTTTTGCATAACACAACAACTAAGCTGAGCAAATGGGTTATTGCAGCTCACATACCCTGCATTTAGAAGGACCCCTGAGACCTCATTTCCATCCATACATTGATTCCAATAAGGTGCCATTTTGTGAGGAGTAGCTGTATGGCAGAGCTGTTTCCATGACTGCCTGGTTACTCTGAAATTCCATATCTAAATTACGGCCCAACACAGAAGATTTAAGCTCTAAACTCACCCTTTTCATGCTGTGAAACAGCTGCAAAACAGTAACAGAGCTGCTCCAAATCATTTAGCATCCTATCGCCTCCTCTGCTTGTTGCATAGTTTGCAGCAAGGCGAGGCCCACAGCATCTGCAGTAGCCCTTCCACGTGATCTATTTCTAAAAGCTTTGGGAAGTGCATTTTTCATAGCACAATTGAGAAGAGTGACATGACTGGTTCTGAAAGCGCACTCCAAATAGCTTTTCCAAGCAGGGCTATCTAGAAAATGAAGTTTACCGTTAGCTATGCAAAAAGTCTCTAAGGTGGGAAAATTCCAGTCTACGTTGTATTTGCTCTTAACGTTTACAGAAAATAGCTCACCAACCATCTTTAATATTTGACTTCCCTGCTCCAGTTTCAAATGCTTGTAGCTTCTGTTTATGCAAAACACTCTCAAGTGTTTGTCACAGCTTGCTTTTTACTCGAAATTCACAGGAACATTATGTGCTGTACAAACAATCAAGCTGCTGCTTTCATCAAAGATCCCCTTTGGATATTTTTTGCCTGTGTGCTTAACATTTGCTTTTGACACTTTGCATAGATGTTCTTAGTTGCTTCTCTTAGAAGATGCTGTGTACTCCTGTGGACCCACAGGCCATTGGCTGAAAAGATCTCATAGTCATACAACAGTATTATAATGTGATAATTAATGAAATATAAAAAAGTAGTGAATTTTTTTTTGTATTTACAATTCTGCAAAATTGCAGAATTTCTCCAATTGTTTTTGTTTGGAGGTTTTTTAACATGGCTGGGAGGCGGGAGGCAGGTAGTCAGTTGTCATGATGAAGTTGTAGATTGAAGTATTAGCTCTTTGTTTTCCCAGGATTATGATTCCCTATTTTACAGCTTACCAAACACAATCGGCAGGGCGGAATGTGTAGTCTCAACACACTAAGGTTTCACAGCAATTAAGAAGGTCTCCTCTGTCCAACTCAGAAAGATGGCACTTGACATATTGTACGATGAGAATTATGTTTTCTTGTCCTATGCAAAAAAAGAAATTGCAAACACTTGGGCTCACTGTTACTCATTACTGCTGAGATATGTCAAGAGCTAATGAGATGCAGATCCAGGGGCATTTTCATACACTATGCAGGTAAGGCTGTAAGATTTTTGACAGTTTGGACTGTGGCAACTCAACCTTTCCCAAGCAGGGGACTAATTGTAGTGGTCTTAATTTCTCTGTCACAGATATATTTGGTTTGGGTAACTTTTTAATAATAAATCTTACTATTGTCTGAAATTACCTTATAGCAAAGTTGTTATAAAAGCCCCTTTTGTGGGAGCTTGTGTGGATGAGTTGTATAGGTACCAGCCTATGGTTGTGGATGGAGTAATGTTACCGACCATCAGACTGAAGAGAGAAATAGTACATACTGAAAGCGTGTAGAAATCCCCCAAGAACTGATAAGCTTGAGAGACCACTAGACCTGTTGAAGTCACAAGAACAGGTAAACTCAGTGTACCAGGAGTCTCCCAAATCCGCACAAGGCCACCAGCACGCACAAGCATTAACAGATTGAGTAACTCAGACCACAACCAAAAAGCAGTAGCTATGACTGCTAAATACAGCTGGAGCTACAGGGCTCTCTATATACCTGCTGGGTAAAGAGAAGCCCTCCAAAGGCTTTCTGAGCCCATTAGGAAGCAGGTGAGGTTGGCTTCCCAGTTTAGCACAAACCAAGTAACTTAGTGTGTGTGTGTAATCGATCCACGTGAATGCACTGTGTGGATAGTTACCTGCTGTTAGCAGATAACTTGATTCTGTGGATAAGAACAGCTTAAATAATAAAAGGTCTCTAATATACTGGTTGAGGCTTGTGTCTTCCCTGCCTTCAAATCGGATTCGCAAGTAATGTACCGCAGTCAAATGCCACTAGGTGGCCACACCGACCCGTGCCGGCTTCCAGCCCTGACTCCAAGGTGATCCATCAGCCTTTCTGCTGTTTAGTATGACTGCAGCTCAGCCTTAAAACGGGTTTCACCAAGAATAGGAAAAACATAAATTAATTTGGAAACCATCTTTTGCCTGCTGTTGTTTAATTACGTGTAGAACTGTATCATGTACATTCAGTACCTTCCCACTGAACAGCAAAAGTGTCCTGTTAAGCAGTGCCTTGAGTAGGTTGTATCCTCTGATTCTGGAATCTGTTCACTCCCTTCTGCACATTCAGGAGGCTCTCCATTAAATGCCATAGTCCAAAATCCACATCGACTACTGGACTTCTTCCAACGAAGAAATCACTGTTGTTTCTGTGAAGTCTGCTTCCTGGCTGGGGTGACTTGTTTGGCAGAGAAACCATCTCTCCCAGATTCTGTTATTATGTCTTCTCTTGCAGAGAATTCAGAATGCTGCCTCTGTTCATACATCAGTGGTTATGTCCTTACAAGTAACTTTGGTTATGTCCAGTGGCACGGTGCTGTGCATTCTTGCACTTACTGTGCAGCCCTGTCTCATTCAGATTCTTGTTTCACAGATTCCCTTCCAAAATTTATCCACTTTAAGGTTCCAGATTCTCCCTTCCTCGTAGGATTAGACAGAAACCGAGGCCTCCTCCTCTGGAGATTACAGTATAAAACTACTTCTCAAATGAGCTCTCGGTGTATGCCACACTCACCTGTAGCCCAGGTTTTGCTGGAGATGTCTTTTCTGAGGATGTCCCTTGCTGCAGGGCTTTGTGGATACTGAGCAGCTGAGAGCAGTCCAGCCCCTGCATCATTCACTTCATGGCTACAAACAGTAAGTGATTACCTGACTGCCTTGGTTGCAGGCACAAGCACATCCAATTAATCTTCACATTAAGTATTCTTATAGAAAGGGGATTTTTGTTTGGTGATGCAGACTTCATAGTCACACATCCGTTTTCTGTATCAAGTTTTCATTTTGCCCAACAGACAGTCCCTGGACTTGCCAATAAGGTTTGCAAACACAAGACTTCATTCAGCATTGAAAACCATAATAAAATAGCTAATACAGCTTTTGTATCTTGTTCAGAGAGCTGATAGCTGCACAAATACTCATAGTTTTTTCCCATCTTATGTGAAATGTTGCATTTTTAATTCCAAAAATGTTGGGTTTAGCAGCCAAAGCTTTGCTGCTGTACTGCAAGGGCTTCTAATATAGCTCTATTTCCCATCCACACAGGGGTTTTGCCACACATCTTTTCACTTGGTATCCACTTTTCTTGGCTGTATGTTCATTTTCCCAGTGGGAGAGCCAGGAACACTCACAGTTTGGTAAACTATGAAAGTGAGAAGACAGTCATTTCTTCCTGGATGTGATGAGCCAGGTTTATGTGATCACATTAGAACGTGTTAATTTACTGAGCCTCATCAGGAACTTGTTGCAGAGATACCTTGGCTGCCTGTATGGATAGCTTTACTCCTTTGCAGCTGTGAAATTAAACATAGCAGCTCCTTCCCTCCACACCATGTTTCTGTGTTCCTGACCCCTTGTACTGTTGCTGCTGTTTCTGCAGGTGAGTGCTGGGTT